AAAAAGACAAAAAAAGAAACTCTGTAGTAAAACAAAATTGATGTAAAGCTGAGAAAACTACAGTGCAAGCATTTTATTAAATAAATTAACCGGTAAACAGTTTAAGAACTTTTGTCGTTGAAGAATCAATATTTAGCAAGCGGAGGGTTACAGGGGTCTTTTGGTAGATTATTCGTTATAGTGTATTTTTAAGACCTGTATTCATTTTCAGCCGATTCTACCAGGTGTTTCTCAAAAGGGGCTCACATTTTTTACTTTTTATTTTTTCAGATAATACAACGAAATTTGGTTTGTTAGTATATGACATAAATCGGGATTGATTGACGTATTCAATTACCTTCGGTCGCTTCCTGTTTCACTGGAAATGACTACAACTTTGAATTTTTAGATTGTATCTTCAGTACTTCTTTATTTTATTTGATAGAAAATGACATTCTGAATAGAATGACATACCATACGTCAATTTTAGACATTTCCAATTAAATAAAAATAGCATTTTAAATTTCAAAAAAAAACGTTCAATAAAATGTATTAATTTGTAATCAAAGAACTTTGGAAACATATATTTGATCGTGTATTTTTTTTTCGTATCCTTTCATGGCCGCTTAAAAGATGCCCAAATCGTATTTTTAACAATAACTCAAATTTTTCAAATGGTACGAGGCTGACTCTGACTGAGGAAAAAGCATTTTTTACGAATAATTTGGTACCACATACTTGGTATTTGGAGTAAAATTGTCGTTACGTTTATTTATGGCCATTTTTTAATTGAAAATGGCAAAAGTTGACATATAATATATCATTCTATTTAGAATGTCATTTTCTATCTATCATATACGGTAAAAAAATAACGAGGGTACCATTTAAATCAAAAGTTGTTGTCATTTCCGGTGAAATAGATAGTGATCGAAAATAAATGAAAACGTCGATCAATCCTGATTTATGTCCTATATTAACATACCAAATCTCGTTTTTTATCTAAAAAAATAAAAAAGTTATAGAAGTGAACCACTTTTCAGAAACACCCGGTATATTTATTTCTAAAAATGTAATGGTAAAATTTTATTTCCGGTGTCAAACTTCCTATTAAGTAGTAATTTTTAATTTCAGAATCCCATAATAATTCCGGTTTTTAATAAAAATAATCATAAAGGTCTTTATTAACAAAAATGAAATTATATGGACGAAGTCTAGCTACATAGCTATTCACACTCAACCCACAATAAAATTAAAATTATAAAATCTTTTCTTTGTGTAAACAAATTAGTTGTAAATGTGTTTCACGATCCCAGTCAATAACTGCGTCTCCCATTGTCGAATACTCGGTACAAAATAAAAATCAGAGATGAACGCCCGAAATTAAATGAGACCCTTCAGTGTCCGCTACAATGTCCGCCGAAATCACAGAATATACTAACGAAAAAGAAGCCCAAGTTCCTTGCATGGTACAAAGAATACAAGGTATGATATTGCGCAGGTTGGTCGCTACGTCACAGGTGATAACTGGCGCTATTGGTCAGCACTCTCCGCGCGCCAGTTCAAATCGTCAAGATACTTGTTGGCTAAACCTGTTTATGAATCTATATACCGTCATTGAATTATCACTAAGCAAGTTACTGTGGAATTATATAAGGCGCGGCTAAACATATCTAGAGACCTGAGTTCGAATCTCGTTCACGGGACATTAATATTTTATTTATTTTTTAAATACTGTTGTATTCTATAGTTTATGGACAGTCAGTATAAAAAACTATTTATTCTGTTATTTATTTAATCTCCGGTATTAATATAAATTGATTGTTGGTACAACACCTCATTTATATAGTAAAATAATATTCTACTTTCCTTTTTGAAAATGTATCGGGCAATAATTGTACCTAAAAGTAATATATATTTTAGTGATATACCATATTGTAAACTATTTAATATTTCAGTCACTTAAAAAGTTAACTTGCATTGAATAATTGCTCTACCATTAAAGGAAATTCTGAGTTATATAATCCTCGGAGGTCATATTCTGGGTATGCAACATTTCCCAAATTTTAAAGGTTTCGTTCAACCGATTTATTCTCAAAACCTCAAACATCTACATATAAAAAAGAAGCACAGGTCACTAATTATAATAAGACTTCACCCCTTGGAATTACTTCTATCACAATTACAATATACCATCTTGCATTGGCATTTTCTACTTTTCGATGGGAAATTAACTTCCCAACGTTTTTTAAATGATGTAACAATTCCTCTTGTGGTTACTTTTCCATAGATATCCTCATCTCTGTCCTCATGAATTCAGAGGCAATGAACATGAAAATTATTTACTATAAACCATCGCAAACTAAAAACCTGCATTAAACAATTTTATACCGAATATAGAAATAAATTCATTCTTACCATGCATTCATCTGCATTGGCATTTTCTACTTTTCGATGGGAAAACTTCAACTTCCCAACGTTTTTTAAATGATGTAACACCTCTTGTGGTTACTTTTCCATAGATATCCTCATCTCTGTCCTCATGTGAATTCAGAGGCAATGAACATGAAAATTATTTACCATAAACATCGCAAACTAAAAACCTAATAAACAATTTTATACCGAATATAGAAATAAATTCAGTATTCTTACCATGGTACAAAGAAAACAAGGTATGATCGATTGCAGCTCCAATTTCGTTAAGTTTGCGCATACCACCTGTGACGTCATACGCCATACAGAAAAAATATCCATATTGAAACCATTCTTGCCACTTAATAAAAAAAGATTCTAAAATAGGGAAGAATTAGGACATAACCCCAAAAAGTTATGTTTTGGACATCGAGCTTGGTATTTAGAAAATTATTTTCTACATTTTGACAATATTGAATCAAATTTCACAGATGACACAATCTATTTGACAATTTGAAATTGGCGCGTAGAGCTTGCCGACCAATAGTGCCGTTTATCACCTGTGACGTAGTGACCAACCTGCGCAATATCATACCTTGTATTCTTTGTATCATGTATTCTTACCTATTATTATCGTCCAAATCCATGTTAATAGATAATTATTTTTAAATATATTTTTGGAACTGCTGGTTTTAGTAATTATTAAATTAAACGAACTAAAAAGTCTTAAAAATAAACAATTCTTAACCATAACCCTAAAAAATGCAGATCTCCTGTCAACTTTCTTTATTTTTTATTTATTCATTATTTTCCTGGTGACGTCACAGGTGGTATGCGCGAACTGAACGAAATTGGAGCCGCTATCGATCATACCTTGTATTCTTTGTACCATGAGTTCCTTGTAATAAATCGGTTCCATTTTCGTAACGCCATCTCTCGACAAACCTGACATTTACAGGTTAGCCAAAGGGGTGCGGGGCCGGGGGGAATTGTAAAATACACTTTTTATTTTAATAATTTTTATTTTTTTATTCGCTATTTGTAATTTTATTTTTAAAACATATTATCTGAAACAATCACATAATATTCTTAAAAATAAAATTACAAACGGAAACAAAAAGGAATTTAAATAATCTGAAAATCTACAAAAGTTTATTGATGTAAAGTTATGCAAATTGATATATTAAGTATAACCTCTTTTGCATAACAACATTGTTAAACAAAACATTAACAAATCATAACATATCAGATCATAGAACTAAAAAAAGTACTATTACATAAAAACAGGGTGATACAATATCGCTCAAAATTAATTTTAACATAATATAACCGAAACCGAAAAATCAAACACAACCACACTTATCACAACAGAAATTAACACACACTTCCGCGGCAAATGTCCAAGAAAGACTGATCATTCTGATTGGTCCTGGTCCGGTCGTAGCTCACGTCGTATTGTCGGTAAGCAAAATCCCTGTCCAAAAATCTTGACGATCAGCGCCATCACCCGTCATAATGGGGAAACTTTTGCTGGAACCATTTTGAATATTTCACTTACATGGCCCTGGCCGAAATGCATGCCGTTCGCTCCTTTTGATGTACCGACACCCGTCGGAAAAAGAACGCGCGCGCTCTAGCATAGGCAGACGCACGCTCTGGCGTACAAGTTAGCCGTTCGGCGCTCCGCTCTCCGCGCTCCTTAATAGGCCTAGGCTAGCTGTACTTCGCCTAGCTTGGACGCGGCTTAATGTTCACATGCATTAAATTCCATATTTTTGTCCAAATTAAGATTTTCTCTATTGGTTCCAATTGGAAGGTATTTTGTTTTTTTCTGTATTTACTGTAACTCCCCATTTAGCGAATTCTTCTATTATAAGACGTTAAATTAAAATGCTTTATTTTCGATCGAGCTCTACCAGCCCTCAAAATATTTGCACTTGTTTTAGACTCAGACACTTACTTATTCAGACTAGAACTTTTAAACTATCGATCTATTCGAATTTGTTGAGTCAACCTCATTCATAAAAATAACAAAGTAACTCGCTTCCGACCAAACTGACAGATGGGTTTTTGAAGATGTCCTCGAGTTTAAACAAAGTTTAGGAAGAGTCTTTAATAAAGCCTAAAAAAGATAAACTTTGTTGTTGACGAGAGTAAACCAAAAAGTTCGAAAATTGTTCTCGAGGTCTATTAAATAGGTAGATTTATTAAAACTTTTTAATTATGTATTTTTGGGAATATTGATATTCGTTTCTTTCACAAACTTTACTGGAGAATGAAGTTAATTTTGTTTAGAGGATGGTAAATAGTTGACAGTTAAATTACTGTATTAAATTGTTTATCTTCTTCTGGACAATCTTGCTGGGATTATTAATTAGAAAAAAAAGAAGATTTTAACGTTAAAGTAAAAATCTAATAGGTTTGCAATTTGCAAAATACACATGACGCAGATATCTTTTTCCCTCTCCGATGTAGGTACGCAGAGCAGCACTCATGTCTCATCAAGGCCTGATTCAGATAATAGTTTGCTTCTTCCCATGCCCTGTCAAATATCCTATTATGGATTATGGTGCTAATTAAAATGGTACTAAACTATTTACTTTATATTTCAGATTAACTGGAAATGGCGACCAAAACAACCAGGCCTTTGCTAGGAAGGAGCCCCAAACTGGAAACGTCCCTCCAAATGGACTGCTTCGTAGCAACATTGCTGCAGTTGAACCATATAATCATGTTCCTTTACAATCAAACCAACAAATTAGAAATATTAATCAAAACCAAGAGGTAAAACTATTTGTTGTAAGTTATGAATATGCAATATGCTTTAAAATTAAATTTTTTCAATAAGTGAGTTATTCGATTATCAAGGTAATCAAGGTATTTGAGCTATAATACTTACATATATATATGTATATGTATAGTCTGTTAAACGAATAACTTTGAATTTGACAGTTCCCGCGGGCTTTTCTACGGTTAATTTTATTAGGTTAGCAACTTGCGGCCATGCTGACGCAATGCCGTCTCTAATAGAACAGCCTCGGACCGAGATTTATGACGTCACGCTAATTAGATACTACGGATTACTAAATATGTTGTAGAATACTAAAACACTAAAACTGTCAACACTGACTATGGCTGAAATCGTACTCCATAGTCAATGTAGATAGTTTTAGTGTTAAAAATAATAATTTTAAAAAATTTGTGGTCATCTTTTGACAAGTTTATATTAGTTTATTAATTGCAGTAAACATTATGTAGTGTGTGGTGTGAATATTTTATATGTAATTTTCTGAAGAAGAAAATCAAAAATTTTAGAATAATTTTACATATAAAATGACAGCGATCTTTATTTCATAGCCATCGCTGACGCCTTTTTTTCTATGATATAATAATAATGCCTTTATTTCCAAAAGAAAGTAAAATAAAATACAGTTAATTATTAATACATTAAAATAGTAAGAAATCATAGAAATTAAATAATTACACCATCAGAATATGATTTTTTTATACATATAAATAATCAAAACCCAATTTTGGAGTGGAGCGAAATTCAGAAGCATAATGCTTCTGCTCTTCCATTTAACTCCTTATTGTATTATTTGCAAATATAATTTTTCGAACATTGATACTTGCACAATATACATAGAAATTTTGTGAATGCAAATATTAATACATCACTATTAGTAGATATTAAATGTTTTTGTTAAATTAGATCGATTTTCAAACCCCAAAATTTAAAATATATTTTACATTTTACCCATTAACTTATGTACCTATTCATTATTTGTATATTGTAAAACATTTGCTGCATCTGTATGGTTTATAGTTTATTTGCCAAAGTATTTATTACTATAAATATATATATATATTTTATGTATTAACTGTATATTATATATATTTTATGTAAACTATATCATTTTTAAAATACAAACCAAAGATACGAGGAATAATTATGTTTTCCATGTATTCTACAACATATTTATTAATCCGTAGTATCTAACTAGCGTGACGTTATAAATCACGCTCCGAGGCTGTTCTATTAGAGACGGCATTAGTCTGATATTTAGAAATGTCAAAAGCTGATGACATTTTACTTTTGGGAATTGTGTTGATTTTTGCAAGAAAAGGAAGAACTGTCACTTGTTTTATTATTTTTCTTTTCTATTTCATGAAAGTAAAAAGAGTTACCTATCTGATTCGTTCAGGCACTCGATTTAAAGAATATCAGTAACTTTTTTGACAGAGGGATTATATATTTCTCATGTTGGTAAAAAATAACGGTAAAAATTCAAAGTTATTCATTTTATAGACTATATACTATATATTATTAAAATGGATGAATAGTCCATCCATTTTAATAAACTACTCAAAACACACACACGTTTATTGAATATATTTGAAAAATATATTATTCTGCAACTAAATAGTCGGCCGACTAAAAAAATCCAGCGCATAGCCTAAGGCTGATCAATACAATCGACAACAAATAGTTGCCCGATCGGCTTATTGTTTTCACTTCTGCAATTATTAAATAATCGACCGACTAAAAATTGTATGTCAGTGCGTAGCCCAATTTATTAATTTATGTAATAATTATTTTTTTTCAATTATGCCATAATTATTTGGAGTAGTACTACAAGCCAAATTGGACACATTTAAAGGGCAACACCTTTTTCTCTAGGAGATAGACCAAAAATAATATCGGTGTCTGGAGCTCAATTTTTTATCAAAAAGATGATGATAAAAACCGCACATCAATATCTGTTACCGTTTCGGAGTTACGGAGTGTTTTTCAAAAATGTGCATTTTGTCCCCAAAAATTCACATTTTTAACAAACCGCTGTAAATTTTTTGCTACTGAAAATCTTGTACTTTTATATAAACATCTCCAAAACATCTTTTTACGTGGAATTTAATGGTTTTAATTTATATAATAAAATAGCAAACCACAACAAGATATTTTACTACAGTGTTTGAAATATCTGAACATTTCTCGCGGAATTCATTAACAGTTTGGTTGATACCCTCGCTTAACCGGTAAGTACTTCTAATTTTTGTCTAGACAGATACAGGCAATTTAAAAATAAGATTCTCTAGTCTTCCTCAAAGATAAAAATCCATAAACGCCAAGTCCGGCGCGCGACCTTGGTTATTCAATTATTTTCGAAATTGACTGCAAAAAATTGCTGATAATTTCAGAATTGTGAGACGGTGCCCCGTCTTGCTGGAAAAATATGTTTTAAAGTTCCATTAGGGGCAGATCATCAATAAGGGATCCAAAGCCTACTAGTTCAAATTGACGAACTCTTAAAAATTCTGTAGGTATTTCGAAATAATTCGAACAAAATATCAAGTTGCGATATTTTGGAAAGGTAATGTTGAGTTACTTTCAATGAATTAAAAATATATAGTGTGTCCCGAACAAAAAATCAATTTTTCTGTTTATAACTCTTAAATTATTGTTGCGGGCCGGTGTGGACTCAACCTAACCTCACAATATGGCCCGCCCTCGGATGACCTTAACATCGCATAGACACCGTAATGATTCATTCGTTCGAGAAAAATCGAGTCCCACTGGAATGGACTAGTACATACGAGAACATTCGAAAACCTTCTCTACGCACCTAACGATCTATGGACTATTCTAGAGTTCTTTACCTGTCGGTATAAAAGCTGGCGGCTGTGGCCTACAGGGGGCAGTTATAAATATACCAGTGTAGTTGACGCGCAAAAATTCAAAATAAATTCTTAGTTATAAATCGTTTGTAAATAGTTCTATAAGTCTTTTATCGTTATTGTTTTTTGTTAATTAGTGTTAAATAAATAGTGTTTAAATAAATTGTGACTTTCTATCCACACGGAACCGACGAAAAACGTAACATTATTGATTATATTTAAACCATTATATTCTACGTAAAAAGGTGATTTGGACACATTTTTCTAAAAATACAAAATTTTCAATAGCAAAAACGTTACAGCGATTTGTTGAAAATGCACATTTTTGAAAAACATTCCGAAAAGGTAATAGATATCGATGTGCAGTTTTACCATCATGTTTTTGATAAAAATTGAGCTCCAGACACCGATACTAGTTTCCGTCTAGCTCCTATAGAAAAGTGTGTTTCCCTTAAAAGTGTCCAATTTGGCCCACCCTGTACATTAATATTACTGGATTATTAATGATCTTTCATAAATTAATAGAATTCAAATCTGCTTTTAGTGCGAAACTACCATTAACTGATCCAGTTATTTATCGCTGACCGACTTTAACAGTTATGTAGTAAGTTAATCGGAGTATCTAACTCGGCATAATGGCCACCACAATAGCTTTGTCTCGGCACTTGTGTGCTCGGCTATATCCTCGATTCGGACCGGCTAATCAGTTTAAGCGTAGTTAAGGACGATATCTAAATTTTCGAATGATTTGCAATTACCTATATTTCCATTGAATTGAATAATTCAACTCTCTTGTGAGATAAATCTTATATTAAAGTTATTCTGATATTAAACAGACTTAGTGATAATTAATATGTCATACCATCTCATTAAAATTTGTTGTATTTAGTTACTACAATCTAATGGTAAAATCCCAAGTAGCATTTTCACGACTTGCGACCACATGTTTACTAAACACAACGTTGGATTAGTTACAAAAAATAGTTAGCTCCGTACCTTGGGTATTAAAATAAATGTAAACGTTGTTGTAAAATTGTGCCGACGTTGAACTAGTACTACAACAAAGTAAAAGCTTCTGCGACGTCGAATAAACGTTGTCTTGTAACCTTTTTTGCTTAAGTGATCTTTAGGTGATTTAGACAGCGTAGTTACAATGTTTATTTTATTTTTTTATTTTTATTTTTAAACTACTCCTTACAATCTCTTCTATCTGAATTGCCGTTCTCTCGATCTCTGCGCATTACTATATACCGGTCATCAAAGAGTTCACGAAAACCATCAGTCAACCACGTTTCAGTTAACAGGACAACATCATAATCATCGGCGATTATACTAGTGTAGAGTACATCGGTTTTAGTTCGTAAGCCACGTACATTTTGGTAGTAAATGTGTAGGTTCAGGTTACTTAATTGGTTTGTAGTTCTATTCTGGGGTAGCGTTTCCGAAAATTTTGTTGTATGTCGGTTGGTAGTGGGCTATCTAAATGAACTGCAGGCAGAGTTGGTCCCCTTAAGGCATCAGACGGCAGCGGAAATGTCTCCGGAAAAGTTGTAATTTTAGGACGCCAATTATCCTGTTTACCTCCCAGAAGCTTCTTCAGTCGTTCTTCGAAGGATAATTTGGCCTGTGGCATTTCCTCAGTATGCTCTAGATATTCTTTATATATAAAATTTGCCAAATTCTTTTTAATCATGTAGTCTGCTTGCTGCCTCCGTAAAGAAAACATGTCATCTGGTGTAAACTGATCAAGCGATACAAAAATTCCACCACGTTCCACAGCATGTATGCTCTTTTTAATAAGGAGGTTATACTCATAGACAGCCTGTTTTTGTTTATATGATGTCATACTTTGACATGCCCCTATAATAATTAGATTCGTATGTTTGTACAGGTCCATCATCCCTTTTACAGCTGAACTGGTCAGAGTCGTTCTTTCATTAGCACTGCGTGGGTCTACGAACAACATGACATGGTCCTCCCTACCAAAAGCTTCACTAAAATTAGTACCCATTTTGGCCATGGTCCCAATGGTAAGGGGTTCTGCGGAGAACTGACAGTTGATATCACTTCCCGCGTTCCTTTTAAGTTTAAGAAGCTTCGGAATATTCTTCACGCTATAATAACTTCCCATCACCAGCAAGCGCCGGAACTGACAGGTTTTCTTTGGTAAAATTGGTACTGGATTCTTTGGTGAAACTGGTACCTGCATTGTCGTAATAGAGCAATCAGGAGTGAATCTAATAGAACTCTCCACAGCTGCTTCCAAAGCCAGTGGAGGAGTAGAGTCTTCCATTGTCTTCCATTTTATCAATTCAAGATTCAGTTCTTCTACTTTAGCCTTTAAATTGGAGATCTGGTCTTCATATTTCTTTACCCGGTTTTCCAGTTCATCCTCTACGACAGAGAAGTCTTCCTGGCAAGCTTGGGAGTTTCTTTTTAATCTACTTATATAGGCGTTTTTTTCTTGCAGCTCTGTTTTTAATTCTTGTACTAGACTTTGCAGTGTTTTAGTTGCATCATTTTCTTCACCCTTCAAAGCTTCCCGACAGTCAGATGAACAACAGATAACATTTTCGGAGATTATCTCGTAATTTTTTGTACGTTTACAGCAGCTTGGATGGAAAATGTTGTTACATACTGTACATATCCAGTTGTTATTTATTTTGTTTTTACAGCATTTGAATACTTTAGCCATTATAGTCTAATTATTTTTGTTCACAAAAACCAAACACACCGATTTATTGCCGAAAGATAAGGTGGAAAAAAGATTCAAGATAATGTTCAGAGCAAAAACGCAGAGCGACGTTCAGAGCAAAAACGCAGAGCGATGTTATAAGTGCCAAGGATTTTACCATAAGGACTCTGATTGTAATAATAGAAGAGCATGTGCCAATTGTACTGAAGATCACGATACACAGGCCTGCAATAGTGAATCAAAGAGATGTCAGAATTGTTTTCTTGCGAATTCTAAATACAAAAAAAATTGGGTTGGGCAATAAAGAGTTTTCCGACGTCACTTTCAGGACCTATTCCAACGTTATGCAAACGTCTGTTTTACTAATACCAACGTTGTTTAGATTTCCTTGTTCTTACGTTTAGATTTCCTTGTTCTTACGTTGGTAGCACGTCGAGCCACTACCTTTTTGCAACTGTACTAGACACAAGAGCAAAAGTGGAAGAACTGAGTTGTGAGACTTGACATTTTTACATGTTATGTATTTAGAAAATTGAACTGAGTATCTTATTTTCAGCATTCTCCATATCATCCATCATATCAGCAAAATCAGCATATCAAACCTGAAACTAATCCGAATATCAACGACATCCAAGAGATAACTAAAAAAATTGCTAATATCTATACAAGAGGAGACGAGGAAAACCATCAAGATTTTGCGGTATCTAAGTCAGACCCGAAATATCAGACGCTTCCGTACAATACGAAGTTCACCGTAAATTTATTGCCTAACAACAACAAAATAATTAAAAATGATTTGAACAGCAATGAAAAAGAAGATACTAATTACCCATCGAATATTGTCAATACAAATAACATTGTTCAAGCTGCACACATGACGGTTCATAGTGCTCCTTTAAGTCAAGTGAGTGTAGATCGTATGTAGTATCGTAGATATGTAGAGAACGGTCAATAATGATTGAATAAACATTGAATATACCCCATTCTTTGATATATATTGGGTGTTTCTTAAAAGTGGTTCACCTTATTACTAGCGTCAAAACGCACCTAAAAATTAAATAACATGCTTAATTTTTTGACGACATTTAAAATAAATAAAAACATTTCTTTTTCATTTGAAATTTTTCGATCGAAAGTTTTTTTTAGCAGAACCAATCCTAAAATCCCCTAATATAGTATTCTGTTTCAATCATTGTTGGTCCTCCGTATTTTTCTAGTTTATTTGGATCTTATTTATTTATTTTTTATTTTCTTATTTTATTTTTTTTATTTAAATTATAGGTTAACAAGAATATAGCTACACCGCTTAATCAACATGACCTGCTCAGCCGAAAAAACAGCGAAGGGAAGGAACAAAACAATATATTCTCAAACGAAAATCGAGATGATCTTGCCCATAAATATCAAAACGATCATACATATCTCACCGGCAATATTAATTCTACTACTTCAACAACAACATATCAGGTTGGGATTAATTTTGTCTAATCTAAGTACCATACGACCAAAAAAACCGCGTCAAAATGGCTGGGGAATGACAATCAATTATAATTTTGACGAGGTCAAGCCTTATGCTGCGTTTAGACTTGAGCACGCACGGTATAGGCAAGGTATGATCGATAGCGGCTCCAATTTCGTTCAGTTCGCGCATACCACCTGTGACGTCACTAGGAAAATAATGAATAAATAAAAAATAAAGAAAGTTGACAGGAGATCTGCATTTTTTGGGGTTATGGTTAAGAATTGTTTATTTTTAAGACTTTTTAGTTCGTTTAATTTAATAATTACTAAAACCAGCAGTTTCAAAATATATTTAAAAATAATAATTATCTATTAACATGGATTTGGACCATAATAGGTAAGAATACTAAATTTATTTCTGTATTCGGTATAAAATTGTTTATTAGGTTTTTAGTTTGCGATGTTTATGGTAAATAATTTTTATGTTCATTGCCTCTGAATTCACATGAGGACAGAGATGAGGATATCTATGGAAAAGTAACCACAAGAGGAATTGTTACATCATTTAAAAAATGTTGGGAATTATATTGTTTCCCATCTAAAAATAGAAAATGCCAATGCAGATGAATGTATTGTAATTGTGATAGAAGTAATTCCAAGGGTGAAGTTTATTATAATTAGTGATCTGGTGCTTCTTTTTATATGTAGATGTTTCAGGTTTTGAGAATAAATCGGTTGAACGAAACCCAAAATTTAGAGGAAGTATTTGCATACCCAGAATATGCCCATCAAGGATTATATAGCTCAAATTTCCTTTGATCGTAGGCAATTATTCAATGCAAATTAACTTTTTAAGTGACTGAAATATTAAATAGTTTACAATATGGTATATCACTGTAAAAATATATTACTTTTAGGTACAATTAGGGCCAGATACATTTCAAAAAGTAGAATATTATTTTATATTAAATGAGGTATTGTACCAACAATCAATTTATATTAATACCGCAGATTAAAAAATAACAGAATAAATAGCTCTTTCTTTTATACTACAAAAATAAACTATAGAATACAACAGTATTTAAAAAAAAAAAAAGTTATATCCCGCCGAGATTCGAACTCCGGTCTCTCGCTTCCTAACCCAACTCCTTACGCACTGCTCCACAGTAACTTGCTTAGCGATAATTCAATGACGGTATATAAACAAAAAAACAGGTTTATAACAATACCTTGACGATTTGAACTGGCGCGCGGAGCGTGCTGACCAATAGCGCCTGTTATCACTTGTGACGTAGCGACCAACCTGCGCAATATCATACCTTGTATTCTTTGTACCATGGTTCAAATTAAAAACTTATTTTTCGACGAATGAAGTAATCCATTTGTGCCCGCACAGCAGAGTTGTGTTGGCGAAACTAATGGACGACCAAGAAATAGTCGAGGCTTCAGTCATTGTTATGTACAGCTTAATTATTAAAAAGGAGAAAAATCGAAAACATCGTCGCTGGTGACAAACCCAAATTTTGAGAAATCGATATATTTTACTGCAATAACTTAGTGCCTGAGGAGGGCTATGATCAGTTCAAAAACTTTACAAGAATGACCAGACCCGACTTTGAATATTTACAAAATTTAATAATACCAAAGCGCGGAGGATCAGTGCGTGCGTGCTTCAGTCTAAACGCTCCATTAGACGTCATTTTAGTTTCAGATTTATGTCAATTTTTAGTAAATGACGTCTAGCGATGACCTCACCAAAATTATTATCGATTGTCATGTAACACCGTCTTTTTTTGATCATACGGTACCTAGTCTCAAAAAGTATAACTTATACTTAATAATTATGTTTATTTCTTTTTGTAGAAACCTATTAGCAGCGTAGCACCGACGTCAATTCATCACACTAGCATTCCTTCGACGGTTTACCAAACGTCATCGATAAAAGTACAACCAGTAGAGCCTCAAACGATAGCGGCAACCACGAAAACCCCAACTGCTCTTTCCTACGGTACTCAAGTCCAATCTCCTCCCGGAGCGGTGTTGTCACCACCCCAGTCAAGCAGTACTCCATTGGGTACTCCCGAGGTCTCCATCGATACGACTCCTAAGCCAGCCTTGCCCCCGAAACCCGCTATCAAACCACCACCTAGACAAACGCAAATGGTCAGCGAAGAAACGTCTTTGAGGCCTCCACCGTTGCCTCTGTCCGAACCACCCGAGGAGAAGTCGTCCCCTTTACTGGGTGTGAAACCCCCACCATTGTTGCCCAGTCAGAAGCCTAACATAGATGTATCGAATAAGAATTTTCTTGCTAGTCAATCGGAAATGATAATTAAAGCGAAACCGCTTAATATCAAAAAGCAACAGCTCAGTGAGCAACCCAAACTTCGAAGTCAGAATGCCTATGCTAAATTCAACGGTTTGATATTGAACAATAGGAGAATAGAATTACCGCCGGTGTATCAGTTTCCTGAAATGTCGGTTTCGAGTGCGGACAAATCGGAATCGCAAAACACGGCGAATTCGCAAGATAAGGATCCTTCAATGAAGGACGAAATCGATAGAATATCTAGAACTTCGACGGATGACACTAGCAGCATCGATTCAAAAGAACAAAAGGAAGATAATGTCATAAGAAGAATTAAGAAAGGCAACTTAAAACAAACTGGTAAAAGCAATCTGTCTAGGAGAGTTAGTTTCGATCCGTTGGCGCTACTGTTGGATGCTAGTCTTGAAGGAGAGTTAGAATTAGTAAAGAAAACTGCGTCACAAGTAAGAGTTTATTCTTTATTATTATTAATACAGTATACCGGGTATTTCAAATTCGACTTTCATCCTTGGGATCTCCGGAACTATAAGAGATACTGGGTGGCTTAGATTGAAGGAAAGTTTCCTGTTAGTGAGCCCAATAGTAATCAGTTCAGTAACTGAGCTGATCTTTGTCATTTCCGGAAATATGACGGAAAGACTGAAATTTCTTGTTTTCGTTTTTAGTTTTTATGAATTTATTTTGACAGATAACCAAAAAAATTTCTTAGCTTCATCCTTTAGTGAGGTGAAAAATCACTTCGACGTTTCGTTTTTCCTGGAATAACCATCAACTTTATTTTTTTTTAATACGGATTGGGGTTTTTAATTAATTTTTTAGAAGCTTATATGATCTCCCAAATATAATGATGTAGCACACTTGTCCAAGAAATGTAAGGTGAGTGGACCATGGCAGGCCACTGTAACGAATAAACAGTTTTTAGTAGTCCATTTACTGGATAAATGAAAGAAACAAATTATTAATTTACACTTTATTTTATTGTGTAACGTATACAGTACTTTTGTGATTTTAGATGTAATCACCAAACGGAGTGATTCAAGCTAGTAGTGGGAACTATCGAATGAATACTATCGAAACATTCGATAGTTGCAATTCATTCAAATAATTCGATAGCTAGTAAGAAAACATTCGTCGAAAACTATTCGAATAAAAATATCGAATAGATGCGTCATCTGCCTAGAAATATATTACCTAATTCGGCAGCAAAAACCATTCATTTATAAAATTCATTCATTTGTAAAATTCATTTATTCGTCAGGATCGATTATAATAAAATATAAACTGGATTTTAGTTGTCGTCCGGCGACGTAGGTTTCTTTCCTAGAAACCCGACAGCGGTCGGTGGCAATGGTATGAAAAAAGCCGGCATCTTTGATTTTGAGTCAGATAAAGATAAGGACACATTATTTTTTTTATTGAGGTGCTAGTATTTACACAGAAAATACATTATGAACGGCGCTGTTGCCGTATATTCGTTTTAGTTGGTATTAGCAAAGAATATTATTCTTTGGTATTATAGTTAGTTAGGGATAGTATGACTATATATTTTGCATTTTTTTATTAATATTCTGTTGTTACACTGCAATAATACTTTATATTTTGGATGTAGGAAAATGATTTTTAATGTTGTTAAGCAAAACTGGTTTAATAAATAATAATAACAGAATAATTTGTTTTAAGTAGTAGCAAAATATAAACAACAACTTAGAAGTCCAAATTATTTATATTAGATCCTATTTAAAAATAATATAGTTTCTAAATTTTTTTGTGTGGCAACGTTGGTTTATTAAATAATAATAATTACAGAACTAATTTGTTATATTAACAACAAATTTTAAAATCATGAAATATAAACATTATTAATTTTCTAAGCATGCAGTGTAATAGCAGAAAAATATAAATATAAAATTAGAAATCAAAAAAATTATATATATATAAATATATATATATATATATATATATATAATAATATATATATATATATATATATGTATATATGTATTACTTTTTATTACTTTGTATTAGTATTTAAAAATAATATTTGCTTTTACTGGCATTTACTTTAAAAAATAAATAAAATATTTATTCGCAAAAATCTAAATGTAAGAGAATTAGAATAAACAAAATACAAATATCGTTAACTTTTTTAAATTGGAACGTGTAAAACTTTAATCAATCAATTTAATTTTCTCATCCCAAAATTTGAGTTCGATAATCATTTACTTAACCGCATTACCACATTACTTAAATATGATTATTAAGTTCAACTAATTCATATTACTAAAACATCTAAAATACAAATACATATGTATTTTTAAAATTAATTGTAAGTTCACCTCATCTCTCTTAAAAGTTGTTACTTCTCAAAATTTCCCATTAAAAAAATAGACCATATACCGTATAAAATTAAGTAATTGAAAGATCGGAAAATCACACAAATTTTCAGAAAAATTTTGACCACCTGCACACGTACACAATCATCAATTTAAAAAAAAACACTACTACTTTAGTATTTTAAATATTTTAATAAACGCAAAAATAGCACAGTATTTAGAAGGCAAGTTATAAAAATTTGGAAGGACTAATAATGCACTGACGCAGACAAAAATCAAACGAATACTAAATTTCATTTATAAAAAGCATTCGATAGTCGTGGCTTAACGATAATCACTTAGTCGCACGGCGAGGTTGTCACATATGCTTTAGTATACAAATGAATGAATGATTTTATTCGAATGAAACCATTCGATAGTTGAAATCATTCATTCAGTAACCATTCGATAGTCTAATTCATTCGATAGTTCCCATCGCTAATTCAAGCGGCTTACCCCTATAACTTTTTAATTTTTTCAGATAAAAAAACGAGAATTGGTGACAAAATTAGGATTGATTGACGTATTCAATTGTTTTTGGTCACTTCCTGTTTAAGTTAAAAACACCTTAAGTTAAAAACACTAATTCTTAATCAAGGACACAAACTAACTTAAACAGATGCGACACCTTATGGGAAATTTTGTGTTCAAAAGACCTATGTTCGGAAGTGCGACGACAGAGCGGCGATACCGTCGATGAAGGCAAAATATTCGGCCAAACAAACAGCCGTGGTGACTTCTAATCGTTCCCTCACACCCCTTCTCTAAGCTTCCATTTCTTTCGTTCTTTCTCGCATTTAACCTTGCCTTTGATACACCGCGCCGCCTCGTCTGGCCGTCGTAGCCGACGTACGATTATAAAGTCATAATTTGACATATGATATGTCATTCATTCAGAGTGTTATTTTCTATCGAATAAAGTAAAAAAATACCGATGGTGCTATTTAGAAATCAAAAGTTGTAGTCATTTTCGGTGAAACAGGAAGTTGGAAGTCAATCAATCCTAATTTATGTCATAGACCAACATACCGAATATCGTTTTTTTAACTGAAAAAATAAAAACGTAATAGGGGTGAGCCATTTTTGAGACGCACCCGGTATATTAAACTTAACTTTTATTAAGCTCTTCCAAACGGCCTTGCAAGGAACAGGGCTCCATACCAGGCCAATATTATAAATCAGTCGTTCAACTTAAAACTACAGTTGTAATAATTATAACCCACAAAATTCTAAAAGTTACTGGTTTGTGGAAGTATGCTTTGGAATTAAATAAGACAATAGAATAATTTCATTAATGACTTATATTTAATTAACAATTATAAACAATCAATGTGATTGGCTGTGACAGTCTCGATTATATGAGATTAGATATGCAACTGGAATACTTAAGTGTTTCTGTTTCGGTTGGTTGGGAGAAAGGCCTCACCCTCTTCGCTGCACTCGTCCGCTGGTGGGTAGCGTGATTGTCCGGCTAACGTTGGAGAGCTTGTGAGACTCCACCAGTCTCAGTGCGTGAGCTACTTATGGGGAGGGTCAATTCTCGTATCTTCCTAGAAGATAACAAACAGCAGTATTCTACTCAACACAATTGATAAGTACCCAGTTTTGTGGTGGTGTTCTAAATTACCAATTGAACTGTCTGTTGGTTGCCAATGAAGGTACAATAAAAATAACTTATGATTAAACAACATATTAGTGATTCAAATAAACAATAATCAATATCTAAATCCAACTACTAATTATTATAGTAAAAATTATAATTAAAATTTAAAAAAGAAAATAGGCAATGACAGTTTAAATTAGTTATAATTGAAAAGATTGTCCAAATTATTTAAAGAATATAAAGAATATAAATATAGAATTATAAAAAAATATAAAAGAAAAATATTTTGCTCTCTCTCTCTCTCTCTAGAAAATTCCAGACCACCACAATCACTTCGGTACGACTTGAAAAAAAATATATATTGTTACAGTAAATTATTTGATTTAATTTGTAGACACGTGTAAAAAGAATAAAAAAATATGTAAGATAAAAAAAACTAGAAATATATGAAAATTTAAATTAGAACAAAAGTTAATACTAAAATGCGATATTAAAAGATAAATTTAAAAAACTAGATAGAAAGATAGGATAAGATATAATATATAGATAGGATAGAAAGATAGGATAAGATACGAAAAACGATAAATGCGGCAATTCGACAGATAAAAACTAAAAGAAAAGATATGTCACTCCAGGAACAAAGATAATGCATCCGCCAAATAAGATAAAGATAAGGTAAAAGGTAAATTTGGCAGATGCGAGGTAAAGATACGTTCCTAGAGTGACCCAAAACAACAAAAAACAAAAAATCTATCTGTCGAATGGCCTGCCAATAGCACCACCACTACAGGGTCCAGATAAAACAAGAGTTGCTTTCTGGCAAGCAAGGATTCGTTAAAGGTGACATAAGTCGTATAATATAAATATTATAAAAAATCCTTACTTACCAGAGTCCCTCCTGGTTCATCTCTGAGAGTACTCCTGCAGTGATTGATTCTATTCATGGCCCCTGAGATTACTAAATCGAACACCTCTGCGGGTTCCTGTTCGACAGCTTGCGTCTCAGTACATAAATAAGAAAGATAAAAATAATTAGTACTAAATAAAAGTTAAAGGTATTAGAAAAAATTTTACAAAACTACCATACACGTGCTACTAAGATAAGAAGATAAAAAAATGATGATAAAAAAAAATGAACTGTGAGATAAAAAGATAAAATAGAAAAAGGAATTTAAAGTTACAAGCTAATTAAATAATTAAATCATATTAGATAGTAAGAAATGTTTAAAAAAATAAAACTAATAAATAATTTCCAAGTCGTACCTCGTGCCGGTGTCTGGAAAAAAAACTAGGTGTTTAAGCAAAGAAGATCGAGATGAGAGAGAGTGATTTTCGGCAAAACAAGTCCCTTTATAGAATTCTCCCATTCATTTAGACATGCGTTAAGTACCAAATGTCAATATAAAAATTTATAATTAATAGTAAAAATAATAAATACGATAAAATTTCCTACATACCTTCAAAAAAATGTGTGTAACAATTGCATCTTAATTATTTAACACTAAACAAAATATTAATAATAAACCTTCGTTTTCATTAAAAATAAACAAATTATTATCGGTAACCCATAGGCAACCAGAAAATATATAAAATATTTAAACAATTTAAACAAACAACCATCGCTAGTGATGTGTACCACTATCGAGGTTCCGCAAAAAATCGATAATATATAAAAAAACGGATAAACGATATAAAAGGAAAAATGTAACGAAAATATTTTCGTTACATAATCAAAATGTCCGCATTTACTAAAACTACATAAAAAGTTCTTTCGTATAAAGGAAAAATTTAATGTAACGTATTATAATTTTTGTTTTTAAACTCAACGTACATTCCTTGAACACAATCGTATAACTAAGAATAAATTAATGGAAATAATTTAAAAATTATAGTAATGAGCAGGGTTCGGAAAACTACATGTTACTTTTAAAAACTACATAAACTACATTACATGTAGTTAATGTAGTTTATGTAGAGGGTGTAGTTTATGTAATCTATGTATGTAACTTTCAAATATCAAAAGTTTGAGTTGAGGTTATAATAAGTTGAAGCTTTAAAAACACATAATGTATTTAAGAAAACAGAAGAAATATGGCTTTAAATATAATATTTACATCATATTATCTCTATTACACCTGATACAAAGAAAAATTATTCATAATATCAATACATAGTTTATTAACGTAGTTTTCATGTAGTTAATGAACGGGAAAAGACGTAGTTTTTGAAGAAAAACTACACGTAGTTAATCAGGTAAATTATATCTTAATTAACTACTTCCGAACCCTCGTAATGAGTATTATATTGATAACAAATAAGTTGCCAATGCATTTTGGAATGAAATTACAAGAAAAATACCTATAATGACCTTCTTATGGGCTTGTTTTTTGTAAGGCCAAATTTTTTTAGCTAAAAAGTTGAATAAGCGTTATAAATAATAATATTATAAATATAAAACATTGTCAACTTTCCCGGTACGTATTTATAACTAAGAACTAAGTGTTCATATTTTTATGATTTGTAAATGTTCCTAGTCAAAGGCCCATGTACCCTAGTAAGGCCCGTGTACCCTAGGAAAATTATAAGGAAAAATCAAAGCAAAACTATTATTTTTTTTAGTACCATAACAAATTCTTATATGACAATTTACAGTAAAAAATAAGATAATAATAAGTTATTTACATAAAAATTTACCTTTTCTTGTGCGCGCGAATTACAATTTTAACATCGATGTCCCAGTCTGTGTCCTTGAGTTTAGTGAGGCTTAAGTTTCAGTGAATTTGTCATCACTTAATGACAATAACTATGACTTTTTTTTAGTTGGCCATCAAAGGAGCATAGCCTTCCATGGTTCACCCACCTTATAATGGATATACCGGGTGCGTCTCAAAAGTGGCTCACCCTTATAACTTTTTTATTTTTTCAGAAAAAAAAACGAGATTTGGTATGTTAGTATATGACATAAATTAGGATTGAGTGACGTATTCAATTGTTTTTGGTCACTTCCTGTTTCACCGGAAATGACTACAACTTTTGATTTTTAAATTGCACCCTCGGTATTTTTTTACTTTATTCATATTTAAGAAGCTCTTAACTCACTGCCGGTAGATAAATAAATTTATACTACCTCGCTATAACTACGAACTAAAGCAGAATCAGACGTATATTGATATAAAAAATAAATCTTACATTCTTTTTGAAACGCCCTGTAGATATTTCAATAAACATTTCTTATTTAGGTTCCAAACCCAAGCGCGGCTAATGACGAAGGCATTACGGCATTACACAATGCCATCTGCGCGGGCCACATCGAAATCGTGAAATTTCTCGTCGAATTCGGTTGTGACGTCAACGCTCAAGACAGCGACGGCTGGACGCCCCTACACTGCGCGGCAAGTTGCAACAATTTGACCATGGTCAAGTTTCTGGTGGAGCACGGAGCTTGTATCTTCGCTACAACACTGAGCGATCATGAAACGGCTGCTGAGAAATGCGAAGAAGATGAAGAAGGATTCGATGGATGCTCAGAATATTTATACAGTAAGTTATACAGGGCGATAAACAATCATTGAAATGCCTAGTTAGGCGTTTATGGAGAACCGGTGATAGGATTTTTTTTGCAAATTTGGATTGCTGCATAAAGACACCTGCTCCGTCTGTCTAAATTATTTTTAGTGTTACAGTGTGGCCGCTTCATACTAAAAATGGTAGCAGTATCTTTGATATTTCAAAAGGAACACCCAGAATAGTATTACATTTTTGAAACTGCTTTTAAGTATTATATATTTTTCTATTATTTTAACCTAATATACAGGGTGGTCCGAACTGCATTCCGGAAATTTCGGCAGCATATTCTGCAGATAAAAATAAGTAAAAAAGTTCGTATAAATGTATGTCCTAAAATGCTTAGTTTCGGAGATACAGGGTGTAGAAGTTTCATTTTTATTTCGATTTTTTCCAAATAATTTCTGAAGTAACATCAATATTTAGATGAAAATTGCTGTACTGGGAGATTTTTGACATGAGAAATTTGATTCTGATATCAATATGACTCCTAGTTGTAGAGGGCGCCACCTACATGTGATTTAACTGTTTTGAAGAGTGATAACTTTCCGTCCTGTATAAAACTAGTGGATGAATAATGTAAAAAATGTCTCTTGGTAAAAATCGCGACAAGCGACCTTTCTCAAGATATTTAGAATAGAAATAGTCAATACATGTCAAAATTGACAAAAAATAAACATGTCGAGTAGATAGCTATTTCACTCAAATGATAAAATTGGAAACTTTTGATTTTTTTAAATTTTTCTTCGAAAAAATGATGATAAAATAGTTTCTGTTGAGCTTTTGGCACAAAAATATTTCAAATTTATGATTTCAATCTAATAACTAATTAGTCAACATGTTTCATTTATGTCAATAACGACAGGTATTGATAATTTCGATTCCAAATATCTCGAGAACCATTACACGTAGCGATTTTTACCAAGAGATCTTTTTTCGTACAAAACGTCGTAAATGTATATTTTTCTATTCAGTAGTTTTATACAGGTACGAACGAAAAGTTATTCCCCTTCTAACCAGTTAAAAAATATGTAGTGGCGCACTCTACAAGTAGGAGTAAAGGTAGGAGTCATATTGATATCAAAATCAAATTTCTCATGTCAAAAAACTTCCACACACAAATTTTCATTGAAATATTGACGTTACTTTAGAAATTATTTGGAAAAAATCGAAATAAAAATGAAACTTCTACACCCTGTATCTTCGAAACTAAGCATATTTGGACATACATTTATACGAACTTTTTTACATATTTTGATCTGCAGAGTAGACTGCCGAAGTTTTCGGAATACAGTTCGGACCACCCTGTATTTCCTTATAATTTTTGAGATAAAAATAAAATGTGTTTAAAATCGATAAAAACATGATCTTGAATAAGCATTTGTTTAGTCATAAATCATAAATTCGGCATATTGAAAGCTGAAATTTGGTTTATAAGTTAAAGAAAGTATACATATTCGATCTGTCTAAATCAGTAGTTCCCAAACTTATTTTTCTCGTGGGCCACTTTCAAAATTTTACTGGTTTCGGTGGACCCCCTGCTGCTACATTTCTACCACATTCTTAAAGTCGCCAAAAAATAAAAATTGTGTCACTTCTGAGTTCTGTCCCTATATTCCGATATGTAAAATAAAAACGAAAAATGGTACATTTTATATCACTTTATTTATTAAAAGAATAGAATTACAAGAAAAAATATTAAGGTAATATAGGTTCAGGTCATAATTTTAATTAATGGGAAGGATGTATCTGATGGAGTGTCAGCAAACGATCAATGTTTGGCTTTATTTTTTGTGAGCAATAACCGCAAATCCCCCGCTCTGTGATGTTTAATTTGCTCCTTTTTTTTTTGTTAAGAGGTTTGTAACGGCACTAAAACTCCTTTCGACAAGGTATGACGAGGGAAAAGCTATTAAAAATTTCCTTGCGATTTCCCACAGTCCAGGATATTTTTCGGGTATTTCTGCTTGCAGCCAAAATGTTGGGTAGCCTTTTCTAAATTTCACCTTCAGCTCCTCATTAGTGCTTAGCTCGAGCAGCTCCTCTTGTAATACAACATTGGCCACTTCCGTTTCATCAAATGGATTTATGATCCATGGTGGTATATCCATCGTCAGTATATCTTCAAACCTGGTTTTGAAGTCATCATGCAGAGCACTTAAATGTTGACTGTAGGTATGGATATCCTCATCAATACATTCTACCTGCGACAAGTTTGGAAATTGAGAGAATTCGCGCCGACTAATGTTTTGCTTCATAAATTTCAATTTCCCAAGAAAAGCCGAAATTATCCCCTTTGTTTTTATTAAATTCAGGCTGTCCCCTTGTAACTGCAAGTTAATATCATTAAATTTTTTAAACAAATCTGTCAAATACGCAATGTCTGCTTTGAATTTGATCAAGTTTTCTTTTAAATCTGGATCTCTACTTTCTAAGAACTCTAATATGGAATCGAAAACAGAGTAAAATCTCGTTAAGCATGCACCTTTCGACAACCAGCGTACTTCAGTATGTAAGAGCAGTCGTTGGAAGTCTTCATCATTTTCGTCGCACAATTGAGCAAATAAACGCGTATTCAATGCATTGCTTCTGATTTTGTTGACAGCTTTTATTACAAAATGAAGAGATTGGTTCAACCTGTCACTTAAATGTTTTGCCACAAGATGTTGTCGGTGGATTACGCAATGAATAGCTGTAAGTCCTGGTATAATTCTTTTGAGATGACTTATAAACCCACGATATCGCCCGACCATTGCAGGAGCTCCGTCTGTTGCCACTGAAATAATGTTTGTAAATGGGATCGATTTTTCCGTAAAAAAATTACTCAGGACATTAAATATTGATTCGCCTTTAGTGTCAGTCTCCAAAGTTCTGGCAAATAGCAATTCTTCGTGAATTTCTTCCTCAACAATAAATCGGACATATGCCAATAGTAATGCTTCATTACTGGGTAACGTTGACTCGTCCAGTTGTATAGAAAAATGAGTTTTTTGCAGATGATTGCACAAAAAGCTTTCGATATCAGAGCTCATTTCATCAATGCGTCTTTGTACAGTATTGTTACTTAATGGAATTCTTTTTAGTACGTCAAATGGAGATTTGTGCAAAACAGTTTTTAAAACCTCTTCAACAGCGGGTAAAATTAATTGTTCTCCGATAGTGTGCGGTTTTCCAGATTTTGCTATAAGTAATGAGATATTGTAAGATGCCCGCAAGCCATCATCGTTACTTTGAGATGTTGAAGCGAACATACTGTGCATGGTGGGTCTCTTTCCATATTTTTCTTTCAATGTTTGAAAATATTTTAAATCTTTACCTATTTTATCAGTATGACACCTTTTTAGATGATCTTCGAGCTTTGATGGTTTCATAGAGTCATTGCTCAAAACTTTGTTGCATAATAGGCACATGGGCAATTGTTTGTCTGCCTCTGATGGAACAAAACCATATTTCAAATAATCGATACTATATTGTCGACATTTTTTCTTTGCTGTAGCCATGTTTCGTGTCAGTTACCTTACCTGTAAAAAATGTTTTAGTAACCAAGTTTTTCTGAATATGGAATTTATCACACCGCAGCCTTTGTCAGCACGCGGAAATAGAATTACGGCTTGTAAAGGGACCAACTAATAAACCGCTGAGACAAATACAGACGTTTTCACAAAACGGTATCAATTTTAAAGTACATAATTTACCACTAATTTTAATAGTATAAATAAAAATTGGTGTACTCAGTATCGAATACTGATCATATTTGTGTAGGAAAAATAAAAGTCGAAATCCCAAAATTGTCCATAAAAACGATAACTAACATTTTATTAAATCAATGAGTTCACGCGCTCCGTGTATTTGCGTATTTTTTGTCTGCGGCTTCATTGTTAAAACGTGACAAACTGGCATCGAAGTCCAAGCCCCGCCCTTTTCTCGTCGCCCGCGCACCGCTCGCTCTTTCCGAAAAGGAATAGTTTTGATAAAATAGTTACTTCAAAACCAATTTAAAATGATTATGAAATTACTGTTTTATAAAATTAGTAGTTATTTGCAAGAAAAATTACAAAATTAATTGCTCTGCAATATTGCTTATTCGGCCTTTTTAGAGAGGCAGTGTTTCTCTCGTGAAAAACAATTGAATAAAACGTGCTGTGTTTGTCTTCAAATCGAAGAGGACAATTAAAATATCTGTAAGTTACTAAGTTACCTATCTATACAGGCCGTTGTGATCAACCAAACTAGTACACGTAAACAAAATACTTAAGTACTATAACAAAAAAAGGTAGGTTACTTACTTTTCTCCGGCACTAGCAAACACAGATATAAATTTTCTCACAACTTTTTCCAAATTCCGCCTTTTTTCGAAATTCCGGAAACAAATGAATGCGTTTGCCTTTGGCATCAAGTATTTATAGTGGTGATCAAGTTCATGTCTGAACAAGCATTAAGCATTGTCGGGCGGATAGCGCTTTGCAAGTCTGTACACGAAATTGTACGTAATATCGAATACGCAAGTTTGGACAAGTAACAGTCGCTTGCCTTATTAAAATATTATCTGCTTAGATAGGTACTTAAAACAATGTAGGTAGGCCCTTATAAAAACTATGCTTACATTTTTGCTCTTTACTATCAAAAGCAGATAAATTTTCGTGGACCACCATTAACATCTTATGGACCCCCATTTTTTGTTCACGCCTACGTAGACCCCCAGCAACTCTCCCGTGGACCCCTGGGGGTCCACCTGGACCACTTTGGGAATCACTGGTCTAAATGGCAAAAACTTTAAAGGTATAGAAAATACAATTTAACATTAGAAAATAATAGATTGACAACTTTTTTTTGTAAATAGATGCAGTTTTTCTTAAATTAGTTAAAATTAGCTTCTTCGAATTTGACATGTCGTGTATTCAGCATATGCAGACCTTTAAAAAACCTCTTTACGACTTCCCTGTAAAATCAAACAGGGGAGCCAATATTTGGGCAGTTCACAATTTGCATGCGATGTTTCTAACGACGGCGACGATGGTATCAAAATTCATATTTTCGGAAAAATCACCAGTTCTCCATAAATGTATCTAACCTCCCAAGTAGCATTTTCACGACTTGCGACCACATGTTTACTAAACACAACGTTGGATTAGTTACAAAAAATAGTTAGCTCCCTACCTTGGGTATTAAAATAAATTTAAACGTTTTTATAACGTTGTGCCGACGTTGGACAGCAAAGTAGAAGCTTCTGCGACGTCGAATAAACGTTGTCTTGTAACCTTTTTTGCTTAAGTGATCTTTAGGTGATTCGGACAACGTAGTTACAACGTTGGACAATATAGAGTTTTCCGACGTCAGTTTCAGGACCTATTCCAACGTTATGCAAACGTCGTCTGTTTTACTACTTCCAACGTTGTTTAGATTTCCTTATTCTTACGTTGGCAGGACGTCGAGTCACTACCTTTTTGCAAGTGTATTGAACCATAACCTTAAATCTTAAATTTTCACTTCATTGTTCCGTTCAGTCAGACAGTTCAGTGCTGTTTTTGTTTTTATAAAAAAAACTTAATTAAAATGGGACATAAGAAAGGTACATATAAAACTAAATTTAAAAATACATCGACATATATTACCGATAGTTTATCCACTCCCTCGTTTATTTAGATTTTAGAGAGCGGCACAAGCTAGACTCTAGGATGACTAAATTAGGCAATCTTGCGACTAGTATACTACCTGTTACGGCCGAACTGCGACTTTATTAGTCCAGTATGCGACTACTCGAACTACTCCATCTTAATCTCCAAAACAACAAAATGAAAGCTGCCATGTTGTTAAATAAGAAAATGTTTCGTTCCTAAAATAGCAATTCCTGCTTTTTGAATACATTAACTTGAAATATTTGACCCGAAAAAACACGCGGAAACAATTTTTTCGACTGCGGATAAATTATTCTCATTTTACTAAAAAAAAAATTCAAGAAAATTTTTAAAACTTCTTTAATTTTAAAGCCCATTAGTATTTTTCAAAGTAGAAACAATACATTTATCAATAAAGTTGTTTGCGTTTAACTTTTTTGCCTTGGGTAACGAGTTACAGAGTCGGTTAAAGTGTTTCAATAATTATGATCTTCAAAATCCTCCACACTTAAACACTTTTGTTTTGTTTTCCTTCACTGCCATCTGACATATGTCTCTAACTAAATCATAAAAATAATATTTTTACTATAATTATCCCAATTTAGGATAAAACGCGACTTAGACGCCATATTAGTTTTGTATTTCTGTGAATTAGGATTTTAAACAACGTTGCAGTTTGTACTAAATTAGGCTTCTATCCAACATCGGTATCCAACGTCGTTTCGACCCAAAAATTATTCTCCAAACTAGTGCAGACTAGGGTTGGCACAAGGTTGTGCCGACGTTGGGCCCGGACGTTTGGTCGCGTGACACAACGTTGTCCCGACGTCCAAATGCTGCTTGGGCTACCATTTCCGTATTCCATATCATCTAACATAACACTTTACTTTAAGCTTTAAATTAATCAGTATAAACTTCACACTCACTTTTTTTAAAGCAGCAGCTCGTTAAAACTGAGCGAGGAACTTAAAATAAAAAAAAACTAATTAAAAAAAGTGTATAATTTATGAAAACATTATTTTAGCATTTCTCTAAACTTTAAAATAGTATTTTGCGAAATTTTACAACATTTTTGGTTTCAGGTGTACAAGAAAAGCTTGGAATATTGAACGGAGGTACGGTTTATGCTGTTTTTGATTACAACGCGCAGCAGCCAGACGAACTGACTTTTAAAGCAGGTCAGCAATTTACTGTTTTGAGAAAAGGAGACGAAAACGAACGAGAATGGTGGTGGTCCAAATTAGGCGACAAGGAGGGTTATGTCCCTCGAAATCTGTTAGGAGTAAGTATAAAATGATATAGGAGAGTAGACTAAACCCAATGACGTACTAGACCATGTAGATTATAGAATGAGTGGGAGAGGGGTCAGTAACTGCGACCTTAATGATCTATTCAGATATTCCCCTTTCCTTGAGTTATCATCATACAGTCTATACCATACTTGAGGATTTTCCTGTTGTAGGGTAGACAGGGTATTTCCCATCCTCTTCTAACAACAGATATTCCTCCTCCGGGGGAATACACTCTCCCACGGCAGTTTGGCCCCCTGTACCCTTCACAGTCGAGGAGCTGGTTTCCAGCTGAGGTAACCGTGAGGTTGAAGCTGGAGGATCTATCTCCACCTCTGATGGAGACAGATCCTCCTGGGACCTGTGATACTGGTGTTGTCCCGAATTTATAATAGAGGATATACCCCTCTTTCTCTATTGCCTCCTTGTATTTAAGATCAATTCATATTGTGAGAACCTGACCATGACCCTCCTGCCTCGAGTTGATAACTTGCCAACTCGATGCCCTCACATTGTTCTGAGCCTGGATAAGGCTCAACAGTTAGGTGGTGTCTTTCCCCTCGGCAGAAACTCCGTGATGGTCACCCCTTTTGAGATGTTTTCTCCCTTAACTGCAATCAGCCTCGGCCCTTGACAATTCTTAAGCTTAGGTGCCGTTAGGTTTTCACTAACCAATCATGGAGGAGCATGCCCACCCGAAAGAGTATCCCTGAAACGCCGCTTTTCTCTCCTTGCCGTAATAATGGATGTCGTGTTGGGCTTACTAAATATTCCACGAGATGTCTTGCCAATGCAATTATAAACCAGATATTGAAGGGATGTTATTTAGGAACCAGTGCTGTATAAGTGACTTTCCCTTACAATAAACTGTCAGATGTTGCTTCATCATGACACCAGAATGTCATATCAATATTTTATATATATTTCACTAATCACCAGTATCTATTAGACAAAGCTATTAAACAGCTATACAGGATTGTTCGCCACATACGACACGGAGTATTGTAGCTAAACGATTAGATTTTTACAAATTGTAAGTTTTGGGTTCGTTGAAGGACTATTAGAGCTACAATTTAAAAAAAAAAGACAGAGTGTCCCAAATAAATAAAAAATATCAAAGTTGTATTTTTTTAAATAGAACACCCTGTATATTATTGCATTTTTAGTTTCTACGATTAAAATAAAGATAATTTTGATTAAGGTTTATTACACTTAAACGTTAGCGTTTTTGAAATATTTTCCATTTTGTGAAATTGCAATATAAATTTTAAGGCTTCATTTCTCCGAGGGTATCAAAGTTTTTAATACTACATATTTACTGAAGTTTATTTATTGATCACTTATTGTGTTGCAATAATAAAAATTATACTACCTTATACAGAGTGTCTAAAAATTTATTTTAAATAATTACTAGCTTTTAAACGGCAATAACTTGTTTAATTTAAATAGAACACCCTATATATTTTATGAGAATCAGATGCACAATTTAATTGTCTATCAAATTGTATTTAACCACTTTTTACCTATCCCTTCAAGTTTTCGTAGAAAATGCATTTTCTTATAATTTAGACCTCATTTATCAATATACCCATGGAATATTGACATTTTAGATTGTTTTTAAAACAACAAATGTACAAAATGTACAGGCTAGTAATATTATCGTTTTTAGTAAAACGATAATATTACTAGCCCATTTGTATGCAAAAAGAAAACTATTTAAATTTTTATAAAAGATTTACATACTAAATTTTGTTCGTTAATAAATTATTCTAAATAAATGTGGATTTGAATCAGAAATCAATATAATAATAAGTTATGAAAATGAACGTCTCTGTTGTTATTAATAAGCATTTGTCAAAAAATGAAATATAATTTTTAATGGGTTAATTTTTTTACCACACTGTCTAATACACATACATAATTCAGTTTTTTAGTATTTGGATCAATTATTATTAATCAACACAAACAGTCAATTAATGTAGTTTGAATACTGGAATCATATTAATTGGTTCTCTTTAACAAATATTTAAACAGTTTTTTATTTTTTAATGAAATAAACGAACTATATCGACAATATTAGTATCTGTACTCTTTAAAAATTTGGTACATTTTTAAAAATAATCTAAAATGTCAGTATTCCATAGGTATATTGATAAATGAGTTCTAAATTACAAGAAAATTCATTTTCTACGGAAACTTGAAGAGATAGGTAAAAAATGGTTTAATACAATTTGATAGGCAATTAAATCGTGCATCTGATTCTCATAAAATATACAAGGTGTTCCATTTAAATTAAACAAGTTATTGCCGTTTAAAGCTAATAATAATATAAAATAAATATTTAGACACTCTGTATAAGATAGTAAAATTTTTATCATTGCAACACAATAACTGATCAATAAATAAACTTCAGTAAATATTTTGTATTAAAAATGTTGATACCCTAGGAGAAATGAAGCCTTAAAATTTATACTGCAATTTCACAAAATTGAAAATATTTCAAAAACGGTAAGCTTTAAGTGTAATAAACCTTAATCAAATTTACCTTTATTTTAATCGTAGAAACTAAAAATATAATAATATATAGGGTGTTCCATTTAAAAAATACAACTTTGATATTTTTTATTTATTTGGGACACTCTGTATCTTGTAAAAATATTTTTAAATTGTAGCTCTAATAGTCCTTCAATGAACCCAAAACTTACAATTTGTAAAAATCTAATCGTTTAGCTACAATATTCCGTGTCGTATGTGGTGAACAACCCTGTATACTCTATTACAAAAAATGTACTTGAACAAAACAAAAAGTGTTTATATGTGTTCTTTCTTTTTCAGCTTTATCCAAGGGTTCAGAGAAATGAAGATAATTAGATTATAAGTATAATTCACTATATGTATAAGATTTACATTATGTACCTTGTACCCATCTATAACACAATACTCTACTACATGGTTCTTACTCTGTCTCTCTTTGGTTTGTAAACTTTAATTACATATATAATATATGTATCACTGTGTAGTTCGACCATGTCATAATTTAAAAGACAGCTACAATACATGTTTTTCGTATAATTGACCTAAAAATAATATACGGACTAATAAAATATGTATGTTATCATTTGTCAAAAAGGATGTTCTTTGAAAACCTTGGCTCAATATAGTTTTATATTGCTTTAGTTTAAGGTTAATTTGCTATAACCTTGTAATGTTTTAGTTATAAGGTAAAAGGTTTTCGTTGCACCCATTTAGATCTTTTCGTAACTGAAAAGAATTAGGCCTACATTAAAAAACTGTGCAATAGGAAATCTGCGAATTTCACTAAAGGTATATCTATTTTTCTTTATACTATTTCTTTGGAATACTTTATTGTATTATTGTAATATGGTTTTAATATATTTTCTGAAAAGTGTAAATATATAAATATGGAAATAAAATTTATTTACAATATTAAATATATTCCGTAAATCAACTTGTCTTGTAGACTTTTCTTTATTCCTAAAGTCCTTGGTGTTCCTTTATTTTTAGTCATATATTATTATCCGAATTTATCAAAAGGAGATGCAAGCAAAAGGAAAAATTTGTCTTTGAATAATGGACTCATTCAAAGAGAGGCGTTTCATAATTTTTCTGTGTTACAATGTTAAAATCTAAAAAGATATTGAACGACCCAAGTAGCATTTTCACGACTTGCGACCACATGTTTACTAAACACAACGTTGGATTAGTTACAAAAAATAGTTAGCTCCGTACCTTGGGTATTAAAATAAATTTAAACGTTTTTATAGCGTTGTGTCGACGTTGGATTAGTACTACAGCAAAGTAGAAGCTTCTGCGACGTCGAATAAACGTTGTCTTGTAACCTTTTTTGCTTGATCTTTAGGTGATTCGGACAACGTAGTTACAACGTTGGACAATATAGAGTTTTCCGACGTCAGTTTCAGGACCTATTCCAACGTTATGCAAACGTCGTCTGTTTTACTAATTCCAACGTTGTTTAGATTTCCTTATTCTTATGTTGGTAGGACGTCGAGTCACTACCTTTTTGCAACTGTATTGAACCATAACCTTAAATCTTAAATTTTCACTTCATTGTTCTGTTCAGTCAGACAGTTCAGTGCTGTTTTTATTTTTTATAAAAAAAAACTTAATTAAAATGGAAAGGTACATATAAAACTAAATTTAAATATACATCGACATATTACCGATATTTTATCCACTCCCTCGTTTATTTAGATTATAGAGGGCGGCACAAGCTAGACTCTAGGATGACTAAATTAGGCAATCTTGCGACTAGTATACTACCTGTTAAGGCCGAACTGCGACTTTATTAGTCCAGTATGCTCGAACTACTCCTATCTTAATCTCCAAAACAACAAAGTGAAAGCCGCCATGTTGCTAAATAAGAAAATGTTTCGTTCCTAAAATAGCAATTCCTGCTTTTTGAATACATTAACTTGAACTATTTGACCCTAAAAAACACGCGGAAACTATTTTTTCGACTGCCAATAAATTATTCGCATTCTACTAAAAAAAAATCAAGAAAATTTTTAAAACTTCTTTAATTTTAAGGCCCATTAGTATTTTTCAAAGTAGAAACAATACATTTATCAATAAAGTTGTTTGCGTTTAACTTTTTTGTCTTGGGTAACGAGTTACAGAGTCGGTTAAAGTGTTTCAATAATTATGATCTTCAAACATCCTCCACACTTAAATACTTTTGTTTTGTTTTCCATCACTGCCATCTTACATATGTCCCTAACTAAATTATAAAAATAATATTTTTACTTTAATTATCCCAATTCAGGATAAAACGCGACTTAGACGCCATATTAGTTTTGTATTTCTGTGAATTAGGATTTTAAACAACGTTGCAGTTTGTACTAAATTAAGCTTCTAGCCAACGTAGGTATCCAACATCGATTCGACCCAAAAATTATTCTCCAAACTAGTGCAGACTAGGGTTGGCACGAGGTTGTGCCGACGTTGCGCCCCGACGTTTGGTCGCATGACACAACGTTGTCTCGACGTCCAAATGCTGCTTGGGGACATAAATCCAAAAAGCTTAAACCATAGACTTAAAATAAAATATAGACTGAGCATCTCATTCATAAATAGCTGGAACATGCGGTCAGACAATGTCTTGTTATTGTTGTGTTATTATTTTAGGTTATAACGAGTGCGACACGAGCGATAGATAGGTTGTCTCTGTCGTAACGGTCGTTCCCTGACGACTCTGACGAGAAACACAACACTGTCTTTCGTGTCTCAAGTACACCTGAACTTTCCGTATCATAGCCGGGTAATTTTTAGAATTTTAATGAAGCTATAATTAAATTAAAATATATCGTGTTTAAACTTTTTTATATTTTATTAAGATTTAGGACAGGTTTTTTTAAAATAAAGGTTTAGAAAAAACGTCTTAGTGTCTAAAAAGGATAAAAATAATAAAATACACGTTATAGAAGATATATTTATAATCGAAATTACTTAATTTTTGAAATTAATAATAAATTATTAATTTTAGTCAAACATTTACAACCCCTAATAATAATCAAAACAGGATTTATTCCACAGATATAATAGAATCGGCGACAGGGAGAGAAAAAAAAATATGATTGTTGTATTTTTTTTATTTTCTGGTTCTGATGTCTTATTATGTAAATTAGAGAAAACATAAATCTGTTCCATTAAAGCAAAGGAAGGTCATCCCCATAATTTTTTATATTTTCAAATAAAAAACAAGATTTAGTATGTTAGTATATGACATAAACTAGGATTGATTGACGCATTCAATTGTTTTTGGTCACTTCCTGTTTCACCGGAATTGGCTATAATTTCAAAAATTTTTAAACGGCACCCTCGGTATATTTCTACTTTATTCGATAGAAAATGACACTCTGAATAGAATGACATATCATATGACAACTTTTGACAATTTGACATTTCCGGTGAAACAGGAAGTGACCAAATACAATTAAATAGGTCAATCAATCCTAATTTATGTCATATACTAACATACCAAATCTCGTTTTTTATCAGAAAAAATAAGTTATAGGGGTGAGCCACTTTTGAGGCGACCCGGTATAGGTAATTTATTAAAAAATTATTACTCTAAACCTCTAATGCTGATATACGTATGTCAATTTAAATTGAAGTTGAATCTAAAACAGAAGCGATAAATAAATTGGAACAATGCGAATGCCGTTTCGACAAAACTAATGAAATTCAGGTTCAAGTTCAAATAGACAGTGGTTTCAATTTGAACCAATCAATAATTATTGTTTACTTTCTATTTCATATATTGCTTTTGAAAACTTGCACTTTTAAAGACATTTTATATTATAATAATGATTAAACGAATGACTGTCTAGAAAACTGATAACAGTTTTATAGAGGGTGTCCCAGAAATAAGTGCAAGTATTTTAAGGAGCGGTAGATCTCGATAAGAGGAACATATTTTCTCTTTATCGTATTGCAAATAAGTCCAAAATAAAATTAAAATAAAATTTACTTTGAAAATTTCCAAAAAAAAATTTTTTGCTAAAATTTAAAAACCACTGGATCTTTTCTGGATTAAAAATAAAATTGAAAATTTAATTAAAATAAATTAAAATAAAATAAAAGAAATTATGTTTTTAAACTAAACAAATTTCCAAAAAATTTCGAATTTTCAATTTTTTTTTTCGCCAAAAGAATCTCATAGTTGAGCTATATAGTTATAAAATTAAAATAAAATTAAAATTAAAATTAAATTTAAATAAAATTAAAATTAAATTAAAATAAAATTAAAATAAAATTAAAATAAAATTAAAATAAAATTAAAATAAAATTAAAATAAAATTAAAATAAAATTAAAATAAAATTAAAATAAAATTAAAATAAAATTAAAATAAAATTAAAATAAAATTAAAATAAAATTAAAATAAAATTAAAATTAAAACAAAATTAAAACAAAATTAAAACAAAATTAAAACAAAATTAAAATAAAATTAAAATAAAATTAAAATAAAATTAAAATAAAATTAAAATTAATAAATTATATATTTCACCCGAGGGGTGTCTCACTATTGGAATTACTTGTACATTTTCTTGGCAGTCGCTGGCAGTCATTGGCAGTCTTACGGCAGTCGCCTATATTAATTACATGGCAGTCATAGGCAGTCTTCTTCGCAGTCACTGGCAGTCGCTTGGCAGTAAAACGATATGTTGGCAGTACATGTACATTTTTTACCCAAGTGAGACACCCCTGGATTTCACCTAATTTATTGTTAAATATTATTACTATTAGTTTATTACTATTAGTCCAACCTACAACAACTTCAAATAAAAAAATAATGGTATTTAAGATAATTACAAACAACTTAATTATATTTTTAAAATTAAGTTAAACAATTTTATTTTTTAAATTAAGTTAAAAAGTAAAACTTTTGTTTTAACATACTTTAACTCTAAAACTATGCATTTCCATACCCAAGTTTATAGAAAAAATTTCACATTTTTTATGAGGAATCAATGAGTACTTATTTAAAACTTTCGCAAGTTAATGATATTAATTTTTTAGATGTTGCTCTTAGGCTTGGATCAAGTAAAATTAATATAATTGCGTTTATTTCATCAAGGAGGCCGAAATCGACAAAATATCAAGATACAACTTACACTATTTCGCTAACAAGAGAAAAAAGTTAGTGGCGTACATGCTCCTATCCCTGTCCCTGCTTTGGTTTTGGAAGCATCAGTATACCACGTTATGGTATGGTCTTTTACATGCTGAGTAAGCGTTTCTTCCTTCCAATCATTTTTATTACTCAATACTACAGTGAGGTGTTTCTCAAAGTTGTAAATTCTTGGTATGTCATCCACTGGGAGTTGGAGAAGTGAAATTTTCTTTTTGAGGGTGTTCCAAGCGCCTGACCTGAAAATTCTGCCGGTATTGTTTCCGTCAATGACCATTCTAATCATTGTCGCATTGGCATAACTACCGACGAAAATATGCAGTGGTGTAAGGTCTAGAATGACCTTCATTGCTGCCGTTGGACATGTCCTCATGGCACTTGTGATGCAGGTACATGCCAGTCTCTGTACTCTGCACAGGTTTTACCTTGCTGTACGTTGCTCTAGTTTTGTGTACCAAGCAACTTCTCCATAGGTAATCATGGGTCTTACTAGCATGGTATACATCCAGCGCAAAATGTTGAGAACCCTTGTGACTTTGCTGGTAATGTTCTTAATATGCCTGTTCCAGAGAAGTTTACTGTCCAGAGTTATTCCCAGATATTTCACTTCCTGTGATGTGCACTAGGTATCTCCTTTCCATCTAGATGGATTCTTTTCAAGTTTTTCAAACTTCACTTTCTGGTGAATGGCCGCGATTTTATCTCAGTTGATACTCAGCCCGACAGTCCTGCACCATCTCTCAGCGATGCGTCCTCT